TCCATGCTCCCGTTGCGGCGTCGCCCAGATCTGCCCCTGCTCCAGGGTCCCACCACCAAATCTGCCTCTGATCCACTGGATCTGCCTCTGTTCCACTAGATCTGCAAAAGAGAGAGGAAAGAGTGAGGGAGATGAAGAGGGGAAGAGAGGGAAGAGTGAGGGAGATGGAGAGAGAGGGATCTGTACCTTTGTCGGCGCCGGATCGAGTCCGCTGCCCGCGCCCTTGCTTCTCACCGCGCCGCTTACCACCACGGCCACCGCGCAGCTCACCACCACCGGGATCTGGCAGCACGCCGCCGGATCAAGCTGCCCGCCATCGCACACTGCTGCATCAACCTCGACCCGCCTTGATCTGCCTCGATCCACCATCGGAGCTCGTGGATCCTGCCTCGATCCGCCTCGATCCACCAGAATCTGCCTCGATTCATTGCTGAGTCGCGAGACCCCCGGTGCTCGAGAGAGAGGGAGGTCGCGAGGAGGGAAGACGAACGCCGCTCAGGAGGTCATGAGAAGAGGGAGGTCTCAAGGAGGGAGAGGGAGGGAGGAGGGGCGCCGCTAGGGCTCAATCTTGGAGGAGAGGGAGATCATGAGGAGGGAGAGGGAGGGGGCGCCGCTCGGGCTCAGTGTTGGAGGATAGGGAGTCGCGACGCGAGAGGGGAAAGGCGCTGCTCGGGCTCAGTCTGAGAAAGTGGAGTGAACGGGAAACCCTAAGCTGTAGTATTTATATCCGAAGATGGTTATTGGGCCTCGCCTGAGCCTGTTGGGCCTCGGCATTTTTGGAGGCGGGCATTATAGTGTGCCCGCCTCCAGAATTTTTTTATGGAGGTAGACGTCTTATTTTCGGAGACGGTTGCCTTAAGATGACCGTCTCCATAAATCAATTTTCTGAGGCGGGCATTTTTTGACCGCCTCCGTAATTTGATTTTACGAGGCGGGCAAAAATGACCGCCTCCGCAAATGAAAATGCCCGCCTCCGTTAATCGTTTGGTATTTTCCTAGGCGGTTGAATTTTGTGACCACCTTCGTCAATTAAAGTGCAACGTCATCCAAAATCAATCATGTAGTAGTGTCTGCTGCCGGTGTTCTCTAATACCCTCAACGCTGATCTGCGGTCCTGGACCATAGGTCCTGCTAGAGCGGCACATGATACGCTCAGCAACACCCACATACCTATTTTCTGGCCCGGCGAGAGGCCGGAATCCTGCCCCGGCAGCAGCTGCTGCTGCCAGTTGCCCGACGAGGGCGGGGCAGCGTGGAGGACCACCAGATGCCGACGTCCTCCTGTAGTGGCCAGTGCAGGCATTGTGTGGCAAAGGACGAGACAGCCATGCGGCAGATTCACATGAGGTTCACGGTGATGTACCAACTACAATGTCTATTAAGAATGCAAGTACATCAATTTTTTTTTTTAAAAAAGAATTCAGTACATCTCTATCTCTATCTCTAAAATCTATCTCTATATCTATAATCTATCTCTATATCTCTACTTTATATATGTACTACTAAAGAGAGGATTGCTTTTTTTTCTTTTGTTGCTTCTACAAGCTTCCATCAAGCACTTATAGATTTTAGAGCTCTTGAATTGATATCTGGTAAAATGCTACGTCCGCAAAACCCAATGACTGCTACCTGCAAAATAGCACCATTCTAAGAATATATAGTTTGACAAAAACATTTCTTTCACTACTACGGATTTCACTTTCGTAGCACCATTTTCACTGCCGGTTTGTACTTATCCGGTGGTGGTAAAGTTTCACCGCTGGTTCAAAGGCAGGTGGGGCACAATTGGGCGACAAACAACTGGTCGTGGAAATTGGTTTCATCACAGGTCACCATATGATCTGGCGGTGAAAATTGTTTTCACTGCCCGCCTGTTGCCATATGATCTGGTGGTGAAAATGGTTGTGGTCATCGGATCAAATGCCGATCCAGTGCTGAAAACAATTTTCGAAAGTTGACTGATTTAGAGATATATCCGCTTTAAGAACAGCTTGTTGGTTTCATTATCGACCACGTCTTGAATCCAAATGGAGACCATTGCATTATCTTTTCTCGAGAATTACACAGTACAACACAGACGCTCACAAAGCACGCACACTCACCCCCTATAAACGCACGCACGTAAACCCTACCCCAATGAGCTTCTTCGAAGACTGGGTCAACAAATCCTCGAGATTGAAGAAGTCACCACAGGCGCCTCGATGTCGACGGGAACATCGCCTACCACTGAAAACATATAGCCGTTAAATCCTTGAAAATTCTCTCCCACAGGGAGTCGAACCCAGGACCTGAGGTGCTACTAAGGTTCTTGTAACCACTAGACTACAGGCCCTTTCGCGACCATTGCATTATCTAATTAGGGTGCCACTCTAATTCATCTTGTTCACCCGACGATCGCATGTTATACATATTTGTGTGTTAGCTTGGACTTGTGTTCAAATTTATATCTCGTGTTCTTGTGAAAACACTGTGGTCGGATTTAATGTATGGACTCATGACTTGAACCAGATGTATATTTTGATGCATTGTGTAGGTCTTAGACTTGATGTTATATTTAAAATAGTTTTCTAAGAATGTATTATTACCACCAGCACTAGACAAACCATTGGTCATATGGTAGAACATGCGGTGATGATCAAGATATCACTGCTGAATAAAATGGTGCACGAGCGGTCATGAGCTCTTCATCATGGCTAGATCAAACGAGGTGATGAGCTCTTCATCACCATCGGATCGTATATCTCAATGGCGGAAAAATCACTTCATCACCTCCTAAACAAACCTCATGCCAGAGGTTATGAGCTCTTTGTCCCTGCCTGATCATATTCCTGACCAACGGTTATGTCCATCTTCATCACCCCACTGGATCGTATGCCAGATAGGTGATAATGTCCGGTTCATCACTACTGGATTGAATGCTGGACCGGTGGTGATGGAAATGACATCACTATGGTGATGAAGTTTATCACCGCCAGTTCCGAACCAGCAATGATAAGTTTTGTTAGCACTGGCCACTTTTACAAACGTCGGCGAAAACATGAAGATGGGTTATGAACCGGTAGTGATGAAGTTTGTGTAGTAGTGTTTAGACAAAGCAGGGTATGTTTAGATTCAATACAACTAGTTCTAATACTTATTAGTTTTGAAGACATCAGAATTTAATGTTTTGTGGCATTGAATTCTAAGACATCAAACATTGTTGACATATTATTAGGCGTGTGTACAAGAACCTACCCAAGTGATCAACACGGACTCAACATAGATGCTCACATTTCTTTTCCAAGATTTATCCCAAAAAGGTTACGTAACTCATTGTGGTGCATTCAGTGCTCAGCATGTGCTTTGTGTGGTATATGCACATATCCAACATTTTACTTTAAGAAAAGCGACTGTTTAGATGTCTTATGATGGATTTTTGTTGGGAAAAGATTTGTTACATTTTTAATCGTTGGATATGAAATTTAGGGTCCAAATCTCCTTCTCCAACCCCACTTTTTTCCTTTTTCTCCCCGTAGCCACAGAACCACCCAATCCACTGTTGCCACTTCTTTCTCCATTTGTTGCGCGGCCCGGCCTCCCCTGCCTCTAGCTTCGGCAGTGCCAAGCCGCTGAATCCCCTGCCCCGCAACCACTCCCAAGCAAATCCATCGACACATAGTATTATATAATCGGAAAGTTACTTCGTGACAGGTCGCGAGACGTTGTGACCGTACGACTCTCTCTTGCGCCTACGGCCCACGCGAGCCCTCCTCACCGACGCGGCTCCTCACTCCCTCCCTCCCCTCCAACGGCGGCGGCGGCGGTGCCAGCAAGGTAGGCCAGGTCCTCCTCCTCCTCCTCCTCTTCCTAGATCTGATTGAGCACCAGAGATACAGACGATGGCGGCGGTGGCTAGGGTTTTGGCAAGAAGTAGGTCGCCGAGAGGGAGAAGAAGCCAAGTCCCACGGGATATAGAAGGGCCCGACTAGGGGTGGCAAGCAGGGCAGGCGGTGGGGAAGGAGATCGGGCGGTTTAGGTGGCCTGGCGGTGGCAGCGGCGGCCGAGCGAGGGAGGGGCGGGGGCGCCATGCCCGGAGCTCGGAGCTTGCCATCACCGACGAACATGGCCATGGTGGTGGCGCTCCGGCGAGAGGGGGGAGAGGCGAACAAGGCGGCTGCCGCGGGCGCTAGGGTTTGCTGGAGCTAGTGCCTGCGGCGGGGCGGTGGCTGGTGGCGGGGGCTGGCATGACGGCGAGGGGCACGGGGAGGGAGAAGGGTGCGGGGGGAGGAGGCATGTCGCGAGGTAGACGACGGGGTCATGCGTGACCCGTCACGTGTTAACGTGCTCCTTATAGAATATACTCCTATCTGCCATCTACCTTTATCTACGTTTTTTATACCATTTCTGCTCCCTAAGGAGACCACGATGCCGGCTTCTGTAGCGGTACTGTATATAGTACCACTGTTCACCGTATACTGTATCAAATACTGTGTAGTAATGTATACATTGCTTTTCTCTTATTTTTCCTCTTTTCGTGGTAGACTACAAATCTGTTTTTTCCCTCCCGTGCGAAGTGTGGGGTTACCTATTATATGGATGAATTCAGAAAAAAAAAAATAATGTGACAACGTCTCGCATACTGCCTTGCATGCGACACAATCTGCACCCCGCCTGGCATACCTTGCAGGACGCGTGTCACGCGATTAGATGGTGTCGCAGCTATGGTGTCACATAGAAATTTTTCTGATGAGTCATCTGCTCTCTGCCCTGGGAAGGTTCGTAGCCGTCAGATCGGGCTCCGGTTCTGTTCCTCCCTTCTATTCTATATAATAAAATAAAAAAGTATATATAATTGTAGAAAGATTCTTGTTTAGAGTTTCAGAAATGGTATGCTTATACATATATCTCAACTATGTTCTTGATTTATTGATCAACCTCGCAGTTGCAAGATCATCGTGAACCTCACGTGACAATCTCAATCTGCGTGGCCGTTTCCTCTGCCTGATCAATTGATGGCCAGAATGCCCTTACTGGCTGCGGCTGCGGCGGGAGGACGCCGGCGTCTTGTCGATCTGTGCGCAACGGCTCCCACGGCGTTCAACTGGCAGGAGCCGCTGGGACAGAACGGCATCCCACCATGGTCATCATTGCCAAGTGAGACCAAAAACCAGGTGTTGTTCGGCGCCTCCTTCTTGGTGTTCCTATTGGTTTGCTTGGGTGTCTGCTGCCTCTTCTGCCGCGAGGACAAGGACGACGAGCAGGATACCACTAGGTTTGTTCTTGGACCGTGGGGCAACAACGACGACGGCGAAGTTGTCAGTGCTCCACCGCCGCCGCTGCAGGAGCAGCAACCGCTGCCCGCAAGCGGTGATGGCAGTGCACCGCAGAGCAACAGCGGCCAAGATGACAGACCTCCGCGGCGACGGCGGCGGCGGCGGCGGCAGCAGCCGCCCGCCGTGGCAGAGGTGCCCGCGGCCGACGTGGAGTTAGCGCTGGGCGAGGTGCAGTTGACGCAGGCCGGCGTGGAGTGGATGCTGGCTAACATGGAGTTGCTGGCGCCGGCGGCGGACGTGGACATGGCGCCAGCGGCTGACGTGGAGATTGCGCCAGCACCGGAGCCGGCGCCAACGCTCAAGTGCAAGTTCAGTACGGCGGAGGGGTGGACCGAGGGGACGTGCTCCGTGTGCCTGTCGGAGCTGGTCGACGGCGAGAAGGTGAGGGTGCTGACAGCGTGCATGCACTACTTCCACGCCACCTGCATCGAGACGTGGCTGCGCGGGAACGCCACCTGCCCACTCTGCCGCGCCCCCGCCATGGCCGTCCCGGCCAGAGGCCGCCGGCGCCGGCGCCCGGCAGACCCAAACCTGGGCCTAGCCTAGCTAGGAATCAGGTGGTTTGGACTTCGGACGAATTCCAGTCTCTCCTACTATGTGTTTTTGTCTCTCGCCAAGATGGAGCGACAAATCTGTATGTACTTTGGTTAAGATTATACCCGTGCGACTGAGATTTTAATAATTCGACAGTGCTATCTATTATCTAATTGTGCCATTGTGTGATGTGCATCGAAGATGAGGACGAAACCTTCGAACATCGGTTTCCATGGTGTGATTTTGCAAAATGCTGTTGGAACCTGGGGCTATCCACCTGACTGTTCTTTGCAGGCTGCTATTAAATTATTCAAGACTCAACTTGGCTCCCCTTTCTTTGTGAATGCCCATCATCATCGTGCCATGGGGAATGCTGCAAAGTTCTCTCACTACTGGAAAATGGAACTCCCCTGTCAGTATGGCCTCTACCAACAGAAAAATTATGTATTATCCTGTGTCGTGTGGACGGCAACCGATAAAAAAATTATACAACCATTGAAAGAAGGGTTACATACCGATAGAGAAATTGCATTTCTCTGATGGTATAAGTAATACACAGAGTGAAATTGACTTATTATCAGTTGGTGATATGATTTCTTTGCTGGGTTTTATGTGACACATAGGAAAACTACATAAAAAATTTCAACCCACAAAAATCTCATGCGGGCTCCACGGTCTCTCGATCTTATCATCGTTTTTTGAGCAAACAAGATCATAGATCGTTACCCCTTGATACGCAACAAAATGGAACAAGAGTTGGAGCAGTCCATTCTAACGTAGTGCGCATTATATTGATGTATTGGAAGTAGGCTTACGTCCCTACACCCTGGCACCAGCAACACATGTGCAATGCGTTCGACACCCAATAGGTGTCATAGCAACAGCGACAACGTGTCTACAGTATCCATACGTGCTGGGAAGGAACGTCGTGCACCGGTTTGCTAGCACCGGGCGTGTGACCGAGAGGGAGAGAGGGGGCGGCACAGTTTGTGCCATTGGCTTTAGGGGAAATGCTAGTATAATTTAACAAGCAATTTTGTGAAAACACTAGGTACCTCGTGTATTTGAGCAAACTTTACATATTATCACAGGTTAAATATAGTGTTCTAACAGTGATTTTTGCATTCACTGCTATTATATAAATGATTTTTGTCAATGGTATTTTCACCAACGGTTTAAGATAATAGAGATTTCCTCCCACACTCTCGTAAGTTGTTGGTCCAAACAGATCCATGTGAAGAAGCTCTAGCACTTTTGTTGTTGACATATAAGCTTTTGTTGGATGAGTGTTTGCAACTTGCTTGCCAGCTTGACATGCACTACAAAGCTTGTTTTTCTCAAATTTCACATCCTTCAAACCTCTCACCAATTCATTCTTCATTAGCTTCTTCAGTGAGCTCATCCCAACATGTGCAAGTCTTCTATGCCATAGCCACCCAAGTGATGTTTTGGTGAATAAGCATGTCTTCAAGTTTGCATCTTCAGAGGTGAAATCCACTAGATATAGGTTGTTGTATCTAAAACCCTTGAATATAACTTGATCATCATCTTTCTTTGACACAACCACTTCCTTCTCGGTAAACAAACATTGAAAGCCAAGATCACACAATTGACCAACGGATAGCAAGTTGAAACTCAATGAAGCAACATATAGCACATTTGATATTGAATGATCATTTGATATTGCAACTTTGCTCAATCCTTGAACTTTGCCCTTTAAATTATCACCAAATGTAATCCTTTCTTGACCATCTACTTCTTCATCTAGTGAGGTGAACATACGAGGATCCCCGGTCATATGTTGAGTGCAACCACTATCAATTACCCAATGACTTTCACCGGTCTTGTAGTTCACCTACACATTTGCTCAAACCGGTGAAAGTGACTTTCATCTTTTCAGCTTGTTGTTTAGGGACCCAAACTTGATGGGGCCCTTGACTTTCTCAACAAGTGACTTTGCAACCCAAATTTGCTTAGGCCTATTCTTGTTGGGTGGACCTAAGAACATGACTTTCATCTTTCCACTAGAATCCTTTCTAAGCATGTAGTGAGCATTGAAGGCAAAGGGTCTAGCATACTTGGGCAAGGGTTGTGGTGGTGGAGTTTGACACTCATGAGCAAAATGACCTTCTTGTTCACACTCAAAGCATCTCTTTGTCTTAGGCTTTGACTTGTATTGTTGTTGATGTTGAGCTTGAGCTTTCTTCTCTTGATTTGGCAAGTACCCAATACCACTTCTATCCATCTTCATCACGGTGTTCATGAGTAGCTCACTTTGGAGATATTGGCCTCTTGTGAACTTGCTCAAACCGGTTTTGAGATGTTCTTTCTCCAACTTGAGCTTCTTGTTTTCTTCTCTTAGCTCATCATGATTTTTCTCCATCTTGAGTCTCTTGTTCTCTTCTTTAAGCATCTCATTCTCAAGAGCTATATCATAATCATTGTCAAGATTTTCTGTCACAATTGTGTTGGTGGTTGATAGCTTTTCAAGATCTTTCTTGAGCTTTTCATTCTCATTCTTGAGCTTGACATAATCATCATAGTTGTCGGACTCAACCACTTTATTGCCTTTGCTACTAGAACCTTGCTCAATGCTCTCAACAGTCAAGTCATCACATGATGTAGCTATATCAATCTTAACAACATTGTTAGTAGCATCATGTGGCTCAATGAATAATAACTCATGAGAAAGGACAAGATTGTCATGATTAATCTTGAGATTGGTGTACTCTTCTTTTAGTAAATTATAACTAGTGATGAACTCATTATGTATCCCCTCAAGTTTATCATGTTTTTCTCTAAGCTCCTTTTTAGAGGATTTGAGCTCCTTGAGTTTGGATGACACATTTTTATTTTCTTCTCTAAGCTCAACACTAGCTTTTTCGGCTATGTCATACTTTGTTAAGAGTGAGTCCTTCTCAAATTCTAGCTTTTCATTTTTAGCTCTTGTCTTTCTAATGATTTTAGTTTATTGGTTTAGCAACTTGACAAGATCATCATAAGAAGGTGATTCAGATTATTCATCACTATCACTATCACTTTCATCATTGCTAGCATTGTCATCACCATAGGTGTGTAGAGGATCACGGCGGCGGTGTCGGTGAAGAAAGTGAAGAATCAATCACAAGAGCGGCCACCTTCTCGTTCTCATTCTCACTTTCATCATCGGATGAGCCACTTGATGAATCAATATCCATGAGCCAATCACCAACAATGTATGCCTTGCCATTCTTCTTCTTCTTCTTGTAAAATTCTGTCTTCTTGCCATCCTTATTCTTGTATGGCTTGTTCTTTTTTTCTCATCATCATTTTCATCACTTGAATCATCTTTCTTGCCCTTGTACTTCTTCTTGTACTTGTCTTTCTTAGGTTTGGGGCATTTATGAGCTAGATGACCAAGTTCTCCATAATTATAGCAATCCATTTCGGAGATGGGCTTCCTTCTATTGCTAGTGAAGAATTTCTTCTTCTTGCCATCAAACTTGACACCATTTTGTTTAGCTTCTTGAGCATCTTGGCGGTTCTTCTCACCATGAGAGCAAGACTTGCATCATCAATCTCATCATCACTTGAGCTATCATGACCAAATCTTGCTTTGCCCTTCTTCTCTTGGCTAGCCTTGAATGTCAAATCTTTTTTCTTGGTGGAAGAAGAGCCATCTTGTGGAGTGATGTGCATGTACATCTCATGTGCATTGATCTTCCCTAAAATTTGAGTTGGTGTAGCGGTGGAAAGATCACCTTGATGAAGCACCGTCACAATATGCCCATATTTGTCAATGGGGAGGACACTCAAGATCTTTCTTACAATATCGGAGGGTTGCATTTGTGTAAGTCCAAGCCCATTGACTTCCTCTACAAGAATATTCAAACGTAAATACATCTCATTGGCATTTTCTCTAGGAAGCATCTCAAATGAATTAAGCTTTTTCATCATAAGGTTATAGCGTTCCTCATGCTCACTCTTAGTTCCCTCATGGAGCGCATAAATGTTCAACCATAGTGCATGGGCGTCTTTGTGGTTCCGCACACGGTTAAAAACATCCTTGCAAAGGCCTCTAAAGAGGGTGTTTCTAGCCTTTGCATTCCACTTCTCGTAATTAACCTCATCGCCTTCAAGGTTGGTGGATTCCTTAGGTTTTGAGAAGCCTTGTAAGGCGGCTCTAAGAACTCCAACATCTAAAGCCTCTAGGTATGCTTTCATGCGAATTTTCCAATAAGGAAAATCATCTCCCTCAAAGATAGGAGGGGTCCATCCCCGTGGGACATCTTGCTCTAGGCAGTTAACCCTAATTTAGGGAGCACGAGGCTCTGATACCAATTTAAAGGATCAAGATGCCCAAGACAAGGGTGAATTGGGCTAATTCTAAATTTTTGCAATAATTAAGTCCTACACTTAGCCCATTTCACCCCTTGTGCCTAGAATGTGTTTCTATTATTTTCCCGCATAAAAGTTTTGCACTCTAGGTTCCAATCCTACTCTAGCATGGCAATTTTTTTTATGTAAAGACATAAAATGAATTGCTCAAATGTAAATGCTCAAAGTAAAGAGAGGGAAAGGAACACGGCGATGTTTTCCCGAGTTATCGGACCCCCACTAGTCCTCATTGGAGCACCCGCGCAAGGGTGTAGCTCCCCCTTAATCCGCGCAAGGATCAAGTGCTCTCTATGGGCTGCTTCTTTGACACTCCATCGCGGTGAATCGCCCACAACCGCTCACAACATGACTTGGGTCATCCACAAGCTCCGTCGGATGATCACCAAGCTCCCAATCGCCACCGAGCCGTCTAGGTGATGGTGATCACCAAGAGTAACAAGCACAAACTCTCATTTGACCAAGACAAGCCTAATGAGAAGGGTGGATGCACACTTGCTACTCCCTATGCACTAATGAGGTCCTTAATCTTGGATTATCAAATCTCAATCACCTCACTGGGCTCTTGCTCTCCCTTGCACTCCAAAGATGTTTCTCAGCTGAACAAATAGGCAAGAGACCTCCTATGGACGAGTGGA